ACCGCCAGCCGGGGGAGACGGGAAGCAAAGCCTCTGAGGACGCCAGCAGCGGGACAGCCGCCGCGCGTCTGGGCTGTCCGCTGCCCGCGTGCTCCGCAGCTTTTCTCCCCGTCTCCCTGGTCTGCTGGTCTGGGCTGTCCTGCTGCTGGCGTCCTCAGAGGCTTTGCTCCTGGTCTGCTGGTCTCCAGCAGACCAGGGAGATGGGGAGCAAACCCCGTTCATAACTGCGGATCCGACATAAGTCGGATCCGCGTAACTCGGGGACTGCCTGTACTTCCATTTCCCCAAAAGTCAATACTGCAGTCTTTTTACCCCTCTGGTTACTTCTGAACAGCTTTGAAAACTACTTAAAGGGGTAATTCTTTAAGAACTATCCTATTGCACTGAACTGGTGTCTGAAATTGGGCATGTTTCTTTATATTGCTGGGGATCAAGAGCTTGGAGTTGCAGGAAGTTGGAGTCTGTTGATCTTTGCAGTGTTTGCCTTCTGTAGAGTCCCTGAGCCAGAGAGACAGGTTTTTAATGCTCTGGCACCACTGCATGGTTGTATCTTGTTGAAATATGCTGCTATAAAGTTGAGGGTGTTGATGAGATGGGAACCATTGACTCTGCAGCATCCATTATCAAAACAATTCTTTTGTATGTTGGCAACAGTGGGATTTTTCTTGCTCACATTTTCCACATGACTTGTTATCAACTATGACAGCTTGTCATGTGCAATCAGCATCACGTTAATCCCATGAGAACAGGTCTTCTACAAAGGCTGCTGCCTTCCTTCCAAGCAGGGCAGGGTGAGGCATATGTTAAAACAGGAGGCTGTATCTGTATATATGTATTTGTTGAGCTTGATTGTGAAGTGGTACTGCAGCCATTCCAAGAGGGGATATTGAGGGAATTGATAAAGCATTAGTGTCCAAAATAGGGAAGAACTAACCTCTGGTATTTATGGTTTATGGTGAGAAAGAAAGTGTTTGAGAGGAATTTGGAAAACTGAAATAGTTTGAGAGGAGGTGATGATTGTATAATTGTGGGGCTGAGAAAAATGAAATGGTGCTGGCCATCTGCTGCCTTTTCAACTGTTCACATCAGGAACTGTAAATATTTTCAGCTAATGCATGTATTTAGTTGTCATGAGTGCACTTCACACAGGTAGCTCCAGCTGGAAAATAGCATGTATATAAAAAAAATTCGTTCCTACCCATGTTCAGTTAGAGGGAAGTGTCTACCTAATTCAAACTTACTTTTCAAATACAGATATCACTGCAAGCAATGTTAATAAATATTACTAGGCTCTTTTAAAGATGTGAAATGTGGGAAATAATGGGTCATGAATAGAATCACCATGGAGGGGACAAAGATGAAAACTTGGGGAACCAAGTGGAACCTCAAAAGGAATGCTGAAGGTAGTAAGGAGAGGTAAGAGAACCCCAGAAGAACATCATCGTAGAAGCCTAATTTGTGAAGAAAACTTATTGACACTGCTGAAGGAGGCAGAGATCAGAACAAGTGAGGACTGATAAACAAGAGTTGGCCTAGAAGAGTTTACTTATTGAGATCAGAGCAGTTTTTGACATTAATGGATGTAGACGAGACTGGAGCATGTTTTAGATAGCTGGAGAAAAAGAAGTAGAGAACACAAGAGTAGACCATTGGCTTAGTGACATCAGAGGAATGTGACCGTAGTTAGATGGAACTAGGGATGTGAATGGTTACCTGGTTAACATCACCCTTTCTGGGTAATGCTTACTGGGTACCCAGCAGCAACCCCAAAAGGGGGAGGAGTGTGGGAGCAGGAGCTGCCCGCCTCATATGCATGGGGGGTGGGTGGGAGCAGGAGCTGGACACCTCACACTTCTGGGGGGGAGGGGGAGAAGGGAAGAGCAGGAGCCAGCTGGCAACCCTGCATGCTGGGCTGCTGGCTCCTGCTGCTGGCATCCCTGCACATCCGGGAATGGGTATAGCTGGCCTGAGGGGGCACTGGATCCCGCTTAATCAGCTAACCAGTTAAACCTAGGTTTAAATGGTTAATTGATTAACCAGGATTTTACATCCCTAGATGGAACAGATATCTTTAGGACAAGGGACTATAAAGACATGTTTGAAAGCCTCTGGGAAGGAGCCAGAAGAAAAGTGTTCAGAATAGGAGAAAGAGAAGGGGAAAATGTTGGCTAGGTGTAGACAGTTTGGCGTGGCATGTTCTTTCTAAGCACCTGTTCTTTGTGGCTTATATCTTTTTCCAAAGACCAGCTGCTTAAGCAGAAATTTTGTTGGCTCTGTCTCAGCCCAGTGGTGAACTCTTTCAAGGCAATTAGGCTAAAATCCAATTAGCAGTTTCTCAGAGCCCTTACTGTTCAGTGTGTTTTCACCTCTTCAAAAATAGTTTGAGATTTTTCTGGACCTTAAACACTTGGGATATTTACCATTCTGAATGAAAACAAGTGGTGTGAGATGTCTGCAATAATTTACTTAAGTAATTAAAATGACTAGAACAAGACCTTGGAAGCTTTGCATTAGATAATCTGTTGTGACCTGTAGACCTTTTATGGACAGGCGAAAATAAAGCCCAGAAGATAAAAGGGCTGCCTGATAGAGATTTTGGGATTCTTTAGTATCTATTTAATCTCTGTATTTAGAGGAGACTAGATACATGTTTAACTTCAAATGCTGTCTGCTTTGATTTGGTGTAGTTTGGTGCAGTTTTGACTGACTAGTTATTTGAATATTGCTTATTTCCTTTTGCTGATTTATAATTATGATGGTTTTGAAAACTACTCTTTAATTCATTTTTGGATTTGAGATGATATTGTTGATTATTTCTTGTTTGTGGCCTTTCTTTTAATTGTTTACTAATTAATTTGTTAAATACTTTTTATTCTTATTTAAACCAAATAGTCTATCTTGCTCACATGCAGAATAGTCACATGGATTATTCATTGATCATGCAAAAAAGCTCAATTTTAGTACATGCAAAAAGAAATCAGACTCTATGTTGCTGTGGGAAATTTAACTCTATATTGTGCAACTAAGTACTAGATACTTTACGTTTTTAATGTTTATGTCACAAATATTTACATTTAACTTTTCTAGCAAATAGTGTACCTTTTGACCAATTTTTTGGTTTGTTTTAGGGCCCCAGCAGTCTCTAATACCACAAGCTTTGGAGAAGGCGGTTCTAGAGAAGCTTAAGACAGAAATTGAGGAGGAGTTAAAACACCTTGATGAAGAAATTTTGGAAGGTCAGTGCTTGTTTTGCAGATACCTTTTCCCCGACACTCTGTTTATTTAATTGATGCTGAGTTTACTTAATAATGATATGGTTCTTCAAGTATACACCTTTTCTGTTACAGGACATGCATGAATCTGTGCACTCATGACCAGAGATTGTAAATAGCAAGGGTTGTGTCTGGGCAGAGAAGCAACTTGTGTTCCTAGGCAAGTTCCTAAGCAGACTGCTGCTCCATTTTTCCCAGCCATCTGCAGCTTGAGATGGAACTGTTGTGGTTTCTGCTTTTTTCAGCTGCTTCCTGTCTTTCATGTTTTCTTTATTTTATTTATCTAGTTTTTATTTTTTAATTTGTTCTCTGAGAGTACAGTTTGTGTTGGTGGGAGGAGGGCTCTGTTTTCTCTCGCCCTTGAGTTTCTTGCCTCGTCTTGCCTACCAGGTAATGATACCACTGCGAAAGGTAATGGAATATTTCTCCCATCCCACTTCTCATTGCCAGGAGAAGAAGTAATCAATGAAAGAAACTGTTAAATGTGCTTCAAACCCTTTCCTTCCAAGGAGGAGCCTAAACACCTATATGTCCTAGGTAGGAAAAAATTGCTTGTTGACTGTTCTTTGATTTTGAGTCACAAACTACTATGTCTTGAAGGCAAAATGTGACTTCAATCAACTACCAGACCAGTTGGTTACCAAAGCTTTCCTGCAGGCCACATTCAATATTGCTGACCCTGTTTCACAATAGTTACGTGATGAGCGTCCTGGGCTCCTGAGGGAGGTGCAAAATACTGTGGGTGACATCTTCTTTGAAGAGTCCAAACTCTTTAGCTGGACTCCATGTTCCACTCCTTTAAAGATACTAGGACAGCATTGCAGTCACTGGGAATATAAGTGCCTACAATAAAGAGATCACCCCAGTATCACCTGCAAAAGATCTATGCTAGATCTATGGAGCTGCTTAGAAAGGAATCCAGAACTCTCAGAAAAGGAGGTTATCATCTTCCATGACCTCTCAACTTGCATCTGGCTCTAAGTGATCATTTTGACAACCTCGTTGAGGGCCTCAAGCAATGTCTTCCTCCACATCTTCTGCTGTATGTTTCTGCCATACACCATCCCTTTGGATACTGCCCCTCACCCTTCACTTCCTACCTATTTGAGAACTCATTAACCTCAGACAGTTTAATTATTTTCCCACGAATTTGTTAAAGGGTTCTCTTCCCAATATTTCCCAGTTCCAAAAGAGTCGGTGGTTGGAAACCAATGTTAGACCTCAGGAACCTGAACACTTATGTCCTGTTGCAGCACATCAGGATTTAATCCCTGGATTCAGAGGACTGGTTGGTTGCCCTGGATCTCCAAGCTGTTCACCTTCACGTGGCTATTCATCCCTCTCAGAAGTGCTTTCTGCATTTTGCCATGGGTGTAGAATATTACCAATAGCGTGCCCTCCTTGGGCTCTTTGCAGCCCCAAGAGTGTTTTATGAAGGACCCCTCAGCTGTAGTGACCTACCTGCATCAGTAGAGCTTTGTGACCGCTTTGTATTTAACTGACTGTCTTTTTACGGCGCTTCTGTGCCCAAGAGGCTGAGTTAGCAATGACCAAGGTCCAGGTCTCTTCACCAATCTAAAAAAGTCCACGTTTACACTTGCAAACGGATTTCATTGTCAATACACTAGACTTTCTAACTGCCAAGGCTTAGCTGCTCAAGGACTGATTCTCCACAATGTCCATCCTGATTTGCTCTACAATACAGCCCACAAACAACTACAGTCAAAACTTGGCTACTACTCCTGGGCCACATGGTGGCCTCCATGTCTGCTTAGGCTGCATGTGAAACTGCATCTTGGACATCTTCAGGTATGTCTAAAGACTACAAATGCTGCAAATAATACATCTTTCCAAACATATCTGGGTGCTGAACTGAATACAGGATTCTCTCAGGTAGGGGGAAGGCTCTCTGCAGGTCTGCGTGGAAACTCTATACTCGTCTGCCCCCAACTTCAGAAATCCTCAAAACACATCTTTCTTGGGTTGGTGAAAGCACCTATAGGGCAAATGGTCCTCACAAGAAAGACTGCTCGACATCAACATCATAGAGCTAAAGGCAGTCCACTGTGCATGTCAGCATTTTCTTCATGACATAGAGTGAATCTTTCATAGGTTGAACAACAGGCAGCTATGTACTTCTCAAACTGACAAGGGGTATGAGATCCTAGTACTTATGTGCAGAATCACTAAGGAGCAGGAGCATCTTCCATCATATAGACATTTCTGTAGTTTCCCTATCATGACTTCGGTGCACAGTTGCAGACTATTTGAGCAGAAACTTCCATTAGAACTGTAAGTGGGAATTAAACAGCTCTGATTTCCACATCTGCTAGGCCTGGGGCCTCCTGAAGGAGGACCTCTGTGCAAATTTAACCAATAGGAAAGGCTGCCCTTTTTGCTCTAAAGGAGGATCTGGCCACAATTCCTCAGGAAATGGTCTGTTAGAGCATTAGTCCTGTGTCCTTCTCTACAGTTACATACCTATTTTAATCCTCATGACCTTGCTCAAACTGAGACAAGATGAGGCTAGATCTATCCAGATAGTGCCTTCATGGCTGAGACTAGCTTCTCAGTGGTACTTCATCTCTCTGTGGCAATTCCTCTGTGCCTTTCCCAAAGGAGGATTTCTTATCAGAGAGCTCCAGCTTCCTAACCCAGACTATCCTTTTGTCTCTGAACCTGAAGTCTTGGTTCCTAGATGGTTCTCAGGCGTAGATGAAATTGCTCAGCCAATTTTTAGTTGTTTTTCCTGTTAGATACAATAACTTACTACCTGTAAAAGTTATTTGCAAAACTGGAAATGCTTCCATTCCTGATGCTTTCACTGCTCTACTCCCAAGGATCTTGTAACCGGTTGGCATTAAAGACATAAGGCTCATCAGTGAGCTCAGTTTGAGTATGTCTGGAAGCCATTACAGCTGTCAGTTTGTTTTAGCCTTTGCCTATACACCACAACCAGATTCTTTAAGGGTTTATACGGTTATTTTACCCTGTCCAGAACATCTCTTTTCCCTGGGACCTTAATCTTGTCCTCAGTGTGTTGAGGAACTCTCACAATGGCTACCTGATCTTCTCCCCGCCCCATCAGTTGTCCCTCCGGACTTCACCTCAATGCCATCACTTCAGTGAGAAGAATGGGAGATCCATGGCATTCATGGCAGACCCACTGTACAATACTTTCTACCATGACAAGGTCATGCTGTACCTCCACCTCATTTCCTGCCTAAAGCCTCATTGGAGTTTCATGACAAACAAATGATTTGTTTTAGAGTTCTTTATCTGAAGCTTTGTGCCTCAAGAGAGGAGGCTAGTGTTCTCACACTTAACATGGAGAGGGCCCTCATCTTCTACCTCAATAGGACTAAGACCTTTAGGGCCTCTCCCAGACTCTGTATTTTGCCAGACGTCTTAAGGGACAGCTAATATGCATGTAAAGACTGAAGTAGGTTTTGGGTTGTATTTTGGCCCACTGTGAAGTAGTGGGGTTACATTCCCCTCATCGAGTGACAGTCCAGTTTTATAGCCCTCCTGATGGATCTTCCCACAGCAAATATCTGCAGGGCTGCAACCTGGTCTTCGTTCACCAAATTTACCATTTTTTCAGTGTCCAGAATGAACTGCCTTGATTTGCCTGCTCAACATCCCCCTCCACTCTGAAATGCTGCTTGGGAATCTCTTCTAGAGGAGCACCGATAGGGACATGTACTTGAAGTGGTTACAGTGCAGTAACTTGAGTTCTTCAAGATCTTTCATTTGTATGGGTGTTCCACCTCCTGCCTTCCTTCCCGTCTGTGATGGAGTCTTCAAGTCTTTGCCCAGAACCCAGACCCATGGATGCTGCTATTTACTGACTCCAGTCTATAGTGCACTGGCACATCCTATGGTGGAGTATCCATGGGAACACACATCTAGAAAAACTCAAGTTACTGTCCAGGTAAATAGCCTCTCCATTTATAGTGTAATGGATGCTCTAATTACGGTTTTGTTAATATTTTTCTCATGCTCATAAATATCTCAAATTCCCCTTTGTTTCTTTACCTTAAATTTTGAGTGCTTGGTCTCCAAAAGGCAAACATTTGTTCAGAAAACTTGAGCAAAAGTCTTTCACTGAATTGTCTTACAGGTTGTTATAATTTCAGAGTTTGAGTAAGTTTTATTTTTACAAACCCAAATGTGTTTAAATTAAAAGATAATTTAAAAAAATATCAACACTATTGGCTTTACATATTGTGCTTCAGCAATTCCAGCTCATATATATTTGCAACTCCCTTCAGGTGTACCCTTCTGTGTTTTAATATTGATATAAGTGTGGCTTTTATGCTGCTACAGAATGTTACCATTCTGATTCCTAGCCCACATATATTTTGGGCTATGTAAATATGTAAGTATCTTGTGACTTAGCTGAGGTTGTTATCCTTTTTTATTAGCCTATTTTTTCTATTTAATGTTAAAATTACAATTTTAGATATATAAAGAAATACAGCAGTTAAAATGTTTATCATCTTAATTTGCCCAAATTATGTAGCAAGGACTCAGTTTTGCTTTTGGATAAATCATTGCAGTTACCTTTGCAGTGGAAAGTGAATATTTCAGTGAGAATAGTGTGTTGCATGTGCCAGGTGAGTAAGATAAAACTGCTATTAGAGCCTTGATTTTTCTATTTCCTCACTTGTGTTTAAAATTTTAAATGTAATGTCACATTCATGTGAATTCCAATACTTATGGATACTAAACATGTCTTCTTATATTGGTTCAATAATGCTATTAACTGTTAGCTGATGTGTATGCTTAGCTTTGAGTATATAACAGCAAAAACATAATTTCAGTGAAGGTCAACTTGGACACTGGTCTATACATAGTATTTATGATGTCTATAATTATCATTGTTCATGGTATTAAAATTCCAGTCACTGGATAATGTATTATGGTGAACAGCACTCTACTGGCAGGGGTGGACTAGATAACTCATTAGTAGGGCTGCTCACTACGAGAGGGAATGGGAACACAAAGGGAACACGGGCTTGGTGATTTAAAATGGCCAGGGGTGTGGGCTACAGCCCTATGCCCTTTAAATTATCACTGAAGTCCCACGCAGAACAATCTGGGGGATACTGAGGGCTGGCCATGGGAGGTGCAGCATGGTCCAAGCAGTGTTGAGGGCTGGCTGCCCTAAGCCCCACCCCTTTGGCCTGAGGCCTCACCCTTTCTAGGGAGCCCAGACCTGCCCTCTTCCCCCCCCCCCCCCCGCACATTGCCCAGGGCCCAGTGAAGTCTGTTACCAGCCCTGTCCATTAGAAATGAAGAAAAGAAAAATACATTAGTCAAACAGAATATTATTTTAAGAATTGCATTCAGGCATTGTTACACCCCGGGCTTGATTAAGCAGTGATGTAAATAGCAGTGTAACTTTCATAGTGGGTACAAGGGTAAAATAGTGTAATTTAAAGGTGGTTTTCAGGGATTGTGCAAAATATTTATAGCTTACAATTCACATATATGCGAATACCTGGTTCCATGAAGCTCTAAGTAAGAAATTAGAGGGTATACTTTGGCCCAGATAGTTCCATTTGTACTTGGTTTATTAGTTCAGGCTGAATTTGCCCCATTGTGTTTTCTGGAAATTGTTAGACAAGCATGCTCTTACTTTGAAGCCATTCATTTTACTTAGTGAAATAAATTTAATGCAACTAGTAACTAAACAGTTTTGTGGCTAATTGTATTTAGTGTTTTGGGTTTGTTTTTGCTTTATCCCCAGCCTTTACCAGTACAGGGTTTGACTGCCACACCTCTCCAGTATTCAGTCCTGCCAATCCAGAGAGTTCAATAGAAGATTGCTTGGCTCATCTTGGAGAAAAAGTGTCCCAAGAAATGAAAGAACCTCTTCACAAAGCACTACAGATCCTGCTTAGCAAGTTAGTTGCCATTTTCTTTGCTCAGTAGAAAGGCTCTTTTCCCTTAAATTCTTACGATTTCTATTATGCTATTTATTTGTTTTGGTATTTTATCTTCCAGTCTTCCTTTGTCTGTCCTCTTTTATTTACACACATTCACACCAAACACTCATGCTTATCATTAAGGCATTTTTCAAGCCTTTTTAACCTGTGAACATTGAGTCTCCAAGATTGACTTGACATATTTCAAACAGCTGGTTGATATCTGGCTATTCCCTGCAAACCATAAATTTCCTAGAAACTGCACTGTAGCCAGGTTAGCACTCCCACTCAACACTTAATCTTACTGTTAGTTTTGGATTCTGTAACTGCAATTCCATGGGGCTAATGTTGTTGATATCTCTGTATTTTAGGTACCCCAGATGTTGCTAAACTTGTCTTGGTTGCACATCTGCCAATGGAACTACTTCCACATTTTCATTGTGGGAACGTACTTCTCCGCTTGTCACGCTCCTGGCCTTTAAAATGAGGGACAAGTAGGAAATAATAGAGAAGTTACATTCAGGTAGCGCAGAAACGTGTTTAAATGTAAGTCAGCTTCTTTTGCTATTTAAAAAAAAAAAGAATCTTGTAATTGGGTGGGTCCTGAAAGAGCCCACATAAGACAGAAAAGGGATTATTTTACATGTTGATTGACTGCATCGTTTCAAGAGCGTGTGGGCAGTTGGACTATCTGTAATGAATATAGAATTGACTTTTCATCTTGGGAATCAATGTTTAAATTCCAATGGGACATGTAACTGATGCCCCAGTTTCTTGATTAAAATGAGTCCTAGATAGAATTTATTCAGAATTTTTTTTTTTAGTATGAATGATGAATCTAGTTTTAGGGGACCCATATGGGGCTCCACTGTGTCTGATTTGTAGATTTATATGCTAATAGGGGTTGGAGGAAATTGAGATTATCCAGTGTCCTCTGTCCGTTCTTTGAGCATTAGTCTCCCAGAACTCTTTTCTCATAACTGTTCCTAATATTTTTAAATGTCAAGGTATCTGTTTCAAGTTTAAACTTCAGTTCTGATATTGTTGGACCAATAGTACCTTATATGGGTACTGAGGAGGGATTTCTGGATCCTTATGAGGTGATCTTAATGTAGGCTTTTGAGAGGTAATGAGATGTGTAAGTAGTTCCTTGAGTAGACCACCTTCTTGGAGTGAACCAAGTGGTCCATTTGCTGACTTAAGTGAAATTGGTGTTAGTGGACAGTGGATTGTCTCCCTATTGGATATGCAAACTGGGTCTATTTGCACTTGTACATAGACCAGATAAGGTCAGTTCCACAGAAAAGGTCTCGTTACATCGGCAGTGTCTGATCAGGACTGTTTGTGCAGCCAGTCAGCTCTGTTCCTTGATTTGTCCATATGAAATATGTGGTCTAGCCACTATATCCTCCATCTTCGGAAGCTGATGAGCACCACAACTTCCCTTATGTCCAGTTTTTAATAGGCCAAGAATTGAAGTTTTGTAGATCTTTCATTTGTTTAGCATATGATGTATGCTCAGAAACCATCTTCTTTGTACTAAACCCTTAAAAAAAAGTTGTCTTTGTTGCAGTGCTCTACAAACAGTTAGATCTTAACCAGCTGTGTGCTCTTTTAGAAATACACATGCTATATCTTTCAGATGGCCTTTTACAGACAGGGAGCTCTTTTCTCTTTTATTTGTTTTCCCACTCGCATTTGTAAATTATAAACAGGAAATTGAGAGTTTATGGACCATTAATGCCAAGAAGATCATTCTCCCCCTCTACAGCTTGATCAGTATTTCTTTACTTAAAGCATACTCAGTTTTAGGGAATTGTTGTACTGAAGGAATAATTCTGGATTATAGCTCCGCGATATCAGTGCTGTACGGTTAGTTTTTCAATTTTAAGCTTCATTTTGGCATACTTTGTAATAGGGATGTAAGTAACTAGTCAACTAACAGATAAGCAAGAGCTTATCACTATTGACTAGTCACATTTCCCCCCCCCCCTTCCCCCGCTGCAGCTCTGCAATATTAAGGAACTGGGTAGCTGGCGCCCAGTCCCGTACAATGCAGAGTGGCAGCGGAGGAGGTTACGCAGACTGATGAGAGACCCAGTGTCTGCACGCGCCAGCTGCCCACTCCTTTATAATGCAGAGAGGCAGTGGGGGGAGGTTATGTTGGGACCTGGTGGTGCATGCCAAACTGCATGCTGTAACTGCCTACCCTTATTGAGTAATCAAGTAGTCTATAAAAAAAATCTATCAACTACTCGATTTAGGAAAGTAACCGCATTTTAACATCCTTACTTTGTAATTATTTAAAAAATTACCCTTTGGACTTAAATTTCAAATGTTTCTTCTTACTGTTCAATTGTTCAATTTTTGGTTGTTTGGTTTGTGTGAAGGTCTTTTCTTTTGGATAAGGTTGATCAAACTTTTTACTCAAACTATGAGGGGAAAACTGTTTCATCAACAAAAAGATGCATCTTAAATATCATGCTCTGAGGGAGAGAAACCTTTATTTTGAAAGAGGTGTTTTTGTAGCCTTGAATGGGAGCTAGTTCATTTTGTCACATTAAAAATAATTTTGGTTTTGAAATAAAACTATTTAAAAAACCCCATACATTTTAGATATTGAATACAAATATATTTAACTGAAAGTGTAAATGTGGGCAGTAAATATCATTTTAATCTCAGAAAATATTGTACTATGATTCTCTAGTTTTTTGTAGGTACAGATATACAAAGATATACAAAGTGGTTCTGTTAATTTTTCTACTGCTGAGAGATCTTGGGCTTTTTCCATGTTTTAATAAAAGTTTCTATATGGTATCTAGTGCCTAGAAGGAACTGCCAGCTGTTTTGTACAGCTGGCAGTCTTAGGTGCTGTGTGCCCCTGGCAGGGCCGGGGACAAAAACTTCATGCACTCCCCCACTCCCAGGCCAATCAGGGCCTGTGAGTGGGGGAGCACACACAGTCTCCTGGCCCTGCCCCATCCACTCGATACCCCACCTCTTCCAGAGTGGCCCTGGACCACTTCCAACATTCGTGGCCCCCCTTCAAAAACTACTGCCAACCCTAATATAGACCATAATGATGGGTCTATTCTAGACTGAGTCTTTTCAAAATTAAGCAGTTTTAGAGTGGTAGGTATTTGGATAGATAATCATCTGGGAACATCTGTAGTGTTTTTATAATAGCAAGGGCTTTCAATATCAAATCTTTCATAATAAGTTATTTTATTTGAATAACGCTTCCTCTGCAGTGTTACATAGAAGACATAGGTTTGATTCCTTCTCCTGTTAATTTGTCCCATAGGACTTCATTGAATAATACTAAAACATCAGTAGCCTGCAGCCATATGGCCTGGGGTGTAATCACATCAGATTTCATTATAAACTAACTGGAATATCTAAGAAAATGTGAACCATATATGTGCCTGTTTAGTAGACTGGAGTTGGTATTTCATCACCTAATCTGACTATCTTATTGCAGTGTGTGTGTTGCTTTTTTTTCTATTTGTCAGTTCAATTAGTTCAAGCTGAGTTTGAAAATAAAAAGTACCAAAAAAGTGAAGACTGTGAACTGAAAATAAGAAGTCAAAGTTACAGTCCCACAGCAAATTTAATTCTGATTTTCTACCTATTTTCATTACATTATGGTATCTACATAGATATCATAGTTTGCTATTTAGCATATAAAATATAATAGAAAGGATTATCTTTTTTCCCTATAAATGTATATACGAAACTAACACTTTAATATGTTTATACATAGTGTATATTGTTCATTAGTTGTTAGTCTGAATTTTTAAAAAACGTACATTTTTTCTGGAAACACTAGTTTTCAGGAGCAAAAGGTTTTACCAAATCTACTGCAGATTTGATTATACTTTTGCTGAAACTGGCCTGGAGTGCTCTACAGTGGAAATCTGCCGGTACTTCAGGGTCAGGAGATCCATAGTATGCAGCCTGGCAGCTCTAGGTGCCTTGGCAGAAATCTGGCATTTCCGAGCTGCTAGACTTTACTAAAGCTGGGAGTCTCCCAGATTCGTAGGTCTCTGCCATGAAGCTAGGAGCCTAAAAGTCTTAGAACTGGTTCCCAGTATCCATGGTTCTAGGGCAGCACTGCCCTGGGCTGGGGACCCCTGAGCTTCCTGACAACAGCTCTGTCTAGGGGGGGCGTCTGAAGACCTGGTACAAGCCAGAAATGAGCCGGGCTGCCTGCCTGCCGGGCTCCTAATAAATTTTAAATGCAGAGTTGCAGCAGGGGTAGGTCCTGGACCTGGAGCAAGCCAGGACTGAGCTAGGCTGTTGGCCAGCCTGCTAAAAAATGTACAGGTGGGGGGAGGGAAATGTGTGTCATCTATAGCATTAACCTATATACTTTTGCTTATTTGCTAATCGATAAATCGACTACACTATTACATCGCTACTTCAGATAGTAGACGATACCAGATTTTGTATTTAAAAACCTGTGGTTTATCAAGACAGATGTGCAGTACAGTATTATTGGCAAGGGGGAAATGCTGCCTTAACTCAAGTTGTATTTTATACCCTGAAGCATGGATGATAGTTCCAGAAACTGTCACCTTAGCTATTATAACAGTTTATACATGTAGTGGATGTGTGAACATTTAGTTATCTGGGACCAGAAAGAACTTTAATTTTTGGCTTTTCCTTTATAAACTTTGGTGTTTAATTTCTGCAGGCCAGTGACTTATCAGGAATACCGAGAGTGCACTCAGGAGACAGCTGCTCATGCCAGTGGATGGAGCAAGGTAATAACTGAATTGCTATTAGTTTGAGCTCTTAACTAATGGGCAGGCGTTTCCCTATAACACTTCCATAGCAGGAGAGACACACCTGTGGACTTAAAATATTTAGGAGCAACTCAAAACCAGAAATAAATGGATTACAGTCCAATATCTTCTCCCTCAAAAAGGTGTGTGTAGATACGGTGCAATTTTGTGGGTTTTTTTTCTAGATTGCATTGTGATGTATTTGTTATTTGTTAATCTAAGTTTATGTTGGTGTTGTAGTAAAATAGAGAGAGAGGGCTGCTTGACATTGATGCCTGCTTGCTATTGAGTTAAAGCAGTGGTCCCCAACCATTAAAGGTTGCCCGGTGCCAGGGGGCGTGTCCGTTCGCCCGCCGGGCGCCAGGGGGCAGGGACACTTGCGTGCCCGGGGCCCCCCCATAGCCACGCGCCCGGGGCCGGCGCTCTTCCCCCCGCCAAGCGCCGCGCGTCCAGAGCGCGGGTGGCCAATCCGCGGTGCTCCCGGGGCCGGCGCTCACTGTGCGGGCACACACAAATTCCCCCGCGGGCACCGTGTTGGGAACCACGGAGTTAAAGTGTTCAATTCCCTAAGATGCATTTGTTGTTGTAGCAATTCTGTTGTGAAAATTTAAACAAGTGTTTCCATTATACTTCTCTGCAATCCCTTGGAAGTTTTTTGTTGACTTTTAAAATGTTTTATACTTGTTTAGTATTTATTTCTCTCAGAATCAGATTATGTATGCTCCAAAATTTTGAGGTTTTAATGGCTCAGAAAATTGAGTTAAGCTTCCTGCAGAAGCGCCAGCATCATTATCACAAGTGTGAGAGCTGCTGGAGTACTTTTTGTTATGTCATTGCACAATATGAGTTGATATCACTGATACAACAGAACTGCATCTTTTCTACAATCTAAGGTCAATGCATACCGCTTTGCTCTATATTGTATGATCCATCTACCTTGAGCTGTGTTTTTCAGAGGATCCCAAGACTTACAAAGTGACATGCAAATCTTTAAATCAAATTACTTTATCTAGAACACAAATGCAGCCATCACTGTGATGAAATGCATAGACTTATTAACAGTACACAGCTACAGTATGCAGCAGGGCAAGACAATAAGTTAATTTCTTTTCCAGTTGAAACTACGGAGGGAATTTAGATGGCCATAATCTCACTAAGATAATTGTATTAGGCTATTATACTGAGACTAGTACTCTATTTTTGCTTTTGTGTGTGTGCACATGCAAGCTGAGACTTTTAATGGCCACAAGTTGCCAGTCCTTTTTCTCATTCAGTGGGCATAGGTCCCTCTTGATGTTAGCCTGAGCATTGGTTCAGCATTGACCTGGCAAAGAGTGCTGCCTATTGCTGACCTGGCAAAACTACTTCCTAATGACCATAAGTGATAGCTGCATTGAAATACTGTGATAGTGCTAGTTTTGCTTAACTCTGTAATTTAAGATCTTATGGGATTGTAAAACATAAGTCAAGGTCTGCAGAAATGAAGTCTCCACAAAGTTCATCTCAGAATTTCCTGACTTCTTCAATGTAAAGTCTGAACATTAACATATTTTCTGTATAATATGTCATTAGAGGACATAACACTAGTTAAAACAAATTATCTGGTACTTGTATAATATAGCTATCTTCTACTTTTCTCAGTTAAGGTTATTGAGATTTTATGCTGAAAACTGATCAATGGTAGATGTGGCATAATAATACCATTGACTATAATGCTTGTATTTAAGGCATAAGTTTCCTGTTGGAGATCCAAATTCATCCCTACATTCTTAAAAAATATTCAAACCTGCATATTTTATACTTTGTAAATCATCTTGTCATATGTGTTCTAGGGAAGTTAAATTTCAATTAATCGGCTAATTGAATAGTCGATGGAATTTCCATCGACTACTTGATTATTCGATAAGGGGGGTGCTCACTATACCACTGTGCCTCTTCCTTTTGAAATGTGCAAGAGCCATGGCAGCTCTTGTATATTTCAAATGGAGAGATGCAGCGGTTCCCTCCCCTCTGCTTCTTTCCCTTTGAAACATACAGGAGCTGCCCGCAGCTCTTGTATATTTCGAAGGAAGAGAGGCAGCGACCCTGTACCAGTCCCCACTGGCATGAGTTCCTCTCTGTGCCTCTTCCTTTGAAATGTACAAGAGCAGCAGGTGGCTCTTGTACATTCCAAAAGAGAGGAGCAGCAGTGGGACCAGCGTGAGCGGGACTGTTTCAATCCCCGCTTGCATAGTTTCCTTGCTGCCCTCTGCCTCCCCTGCGCCCTGCGGAAATGGTGCTGGGGTGGACTGGCTTTTAAGTCGACTCCCCCAGCACCAGCTCGTGCTCTCCCTCCCCTTGCTGTATCTCTGATAGAGGCAGCAAGGGCCTGCGGGAAGCAACTAGTCAAGTTCCTACTTGACTACCTGATAAGCATTTGCTTATTGGGTAGTCAAGTAGTTGCTTACATCCCTAATGTGTTCTATCTTCTGTGCTGCCTTCTGAAACTTTAGTTCACACTGACCGGTATCAGGGCTCTATCACTAACTAGCCATCCCTAGCTAAATGTTAATGTATTTCTCACTTTTTAAAAATAGATTGTACCTTTCATGCTTAGACATACTTTGAGACCATAGTTAGGCACTAACTTTTTCCAGTTACAACAACCGAGTAAAATAATATTGGTCTTGAACCCAAGAGCTACACTAAATATAATTTTGTCTTAAATTAGTTGCAGGATAGACTATCATGGTTTGAAGTTACTATTTTGACATTCTTAGTGATATGTGTCTCATCCAATGGCTAAGTGTTCAGAAGTTTTTGGCACTAGAAACAATCGAACTAGATATGCACCATTGCAACTACTGTAGGTCTCAGAATCTGGACAGATAGGTGGCTTATTGGATCACAAATTAGAAGAAGAGATCGGTGGAGCATGTATTTACAGATATGCATATATACAGTGTTTGGGTTTAAGAGGGAGGCACCTGGTGGGAACATGGGAAACAGCCCAGAGGTATCTAACCTAAGGCCAGCAGATGAAATGGAGGTCAACTGGGTGGCATGTTGTGTCCAGGATCTGCACCAACCCAGTGGCAACCCGTCCTACCACTGTTAGGGTCCTGGGCTGGGATACAGTGGAGTGGGTGGGCCCGCGTCCCCTCTGCCCTCTCCCCAGGGGGTGGCAGGTTCCCCTCCCCATAGGTGTAAAACCCTTGTGCTTGTCAGCTCTCTTCTAGCAAGGAGATCCAAACCCTGTTTCAGCCTGCAGACAGGCATGAGCACTGAACTGTTCAAATTGTATAGCTGCGTATAGATTGTTTGCTTGTTTGATCGCCGGCCCACCCTGAATAAGGGTTGGCTCTTGTAAACTGTGACTCAGCCTGCAGTCAGGCCTGAACTTTAAACTGGTTGAATCAGGCTCAGGGCATGGCCCTTATAAACTCCTGCTTAGCCTGCAGCCAGGGATGAGGCTGTATACCGGGGGTTGGCAAAAGCCTTTCAGTGGGCTGGATTCAGCCCGCCTATGGCTTTGGTCCAGCCTGTGAGGCAGTTCCAAGCTTTGCCCCCTAGTTTGTTGCCTGGGAGCCAGACAAATGCAAGCCCTTTTAACTGCTTCTATTTAAAGGGCTCGCACCTTCCCCGTGCCTATTAGGCAACACGTTGCCTGGAAGCCACAGGGAAGGCACAAGCCCTTTAAATAGAAGCATTTGAAAGGGATTGTGTGTTCTGGCTCCCAGGCAGTGTGCTAGTAGTGAGGCTGGGAGCAGCAAGCCCTTTAAATAGCAGGAATTGAAAGGGCTCGCAGCTCCTGTCCCCTACTAATGTGATTCCTGAGAGCCGCAGGGGAAGTGCGAACCCTTTCAACTCCTACTATTTAAAGGCCCACCCCTTCTGCATGAGGCTCCACCTTTTCAATCTGAGCCCCCACCCCTTCCCTGCATTCACTTAAATGTTTGAAGTGGCCTTCGTTCAAAAATTATCCCCCCCCCCTTCCCTGCAGTAAACTGTTGCCCCACCTACATCAGGCCTGGGTTTACCTAAACGAGTGAACAGTAGTTGGTGTGCTTGCCCCGCCCCGTACTCTAGATCCGGGCTTAAAAGGAGGCCTCTAACTGGTTACTTACGGATCTGGGGCCCAGGACTAAGACAGTTCAGTTTACAAGGGGATTATAATCTTTCCTTATTTCAATGACTGCCTAATAAAGGATCCATATCTTGCGGAAACATGCAACATGATACACACAGCAAGAAAGATGTTTTAATATCTCGGACTCATAACCAGTGTACAAAAATCTACGCTTCAGCCCACACAGTCCCTGGACTTTATAGGCGCCCCGTTAGATTTCATTATGGTGCGTGCATACCTGCCTATCCAAAGGTTCCAGGCAATATAAGATCTTGTCATAGCTGTCACCATGAGCCTTCCAGTGCCAGCGCTTACCTGCCTCCAGCTGTTGGGGCACATGGCAGCCACGACATATGTAGTGTACCATGCATGACTACATTTCCAAATGTTTCCAACGTTGGCTGGCTTCTGTGTGTGCTCCTTCAGAGCACCTCTTGAGCAAACATGTCTTCCACCCAGCGTGATTGCTTTCTTCAATTGGTGGACCGAACCACTCAACTAATGGGAGTTCCATTCCATCAGGACCAGCTGTCTGTGCATATCACCAAATATGCTTCCCTCCTTGGGTGGGGTACCCACATGGATGGGCTATTCTGCTCAGAGATGATGCTTGACCACAGAGACAGCCTTCCATATAAACCTTTTGGAACAGAGAGCAGTTTTCAATGCCTGCAAGCACTTCACCGCAAGCATCTAGAACACTACCTAACATTCAGTGAAGGTGCAAACAGTTCTTTGTGTAGATTCCTACATTAGTACCCTTCCTATCTATTGCCTTTGATCCTTATCTGCTTTGTTTTAAATATCCAGTCTTCAGGTGCTTACTGATCGCCAGTTGTGTCTTCCTGTTTTTCCCTTTGATATTTCCATA